TTTTTTTTTTTTTTTTTTTTTTTGAGATGGAGTCTCGCTCTTGTTACCCAGGCTGGAGTGCAATGGCGCGATCTCAGGTCACCGCAACCTCCGTTTCCTGGGTTCAGGCAATTCTCCTGCCTCAGCCTCCTGAGTAGCTGGAATTACAGGCACGCACCACCATGCCCAGCTAATTTTTTGTATTTTTAGTAGAGACGGGGTTTCACCATGTTGACCAGGATGGTCTCGATCTCTTGACCTCGTGATCCACCCGCCTCGGCCTCCCAAAGTGCTGAGATTACAGGCTTGAGCCACCGCGCCCGGCTGTTTTTTTTTTCTTTCTCTCAATTACTGTTTTGCTATATACTTTAACCAAGACTGAATCAAAGTAATTTTGAATTTATTTTTTATTTCAATGTACCTTATATTTTTTTTCTTCTGAGCAGGATGCTTCATTTCTAAACCAGATGTGATTTCCTTATTGGAGCAAGGAAAAGAGCCTTGGAAAGTTGTGAGGAAAAGAAGAGGACAATGTCCAGGTAAGGGCCAGTCAGGCAAGAAGAAGCTGTCACCACAGGGAACCCCAGATTGTTGGGGAAGAGGCACATCCTTATGTTGTTGAGAAAGCCCTCTTTAAAGGTCTGTGGCCCAAGGAGGAAAGGTCTGCAACCTGGGGAACAAATTAAGGTCTTAGCTGGGGATACTAAAAGAACCAGTTATTTGTCCTATTCACCACTCATCTTTTTTATTATTGTTCTCTCCAGTTTTCCTCCTCTTTGATGGAGCTGTGAGGTGGGGTGGTGCTCTCTGGTTCACTATTGACAACCGTTGTATATTTTGATTCAGCTGTTTTTCTCTTTTGCATTTTATTTTATTTTTGAGACAAAGTTTCACTCTTGTCACCCAGGCTGAAGTGCAGTGGCGCAATCTTGGCTCACTGCAACCTCCACCTTCGAGTTCAAACAATTCTCCTGCCTCAGCCTCCCGAGTAGCTGGGATTACAGGTGTTCACTACCACAGCTGGCTAATTTTGTGTATTTTTAGTAGGGACAGGTTTCACCATGTTGGCCAGGCTGGTCTCGAACTGACCTCAGGTGATCCACCTGCCTTGGCCTGCCAAAGTGCTGGGATTACAGGCGTGAGCCACCATGCCCTGTTTCCACTTTTATTTTATTTATTTATTTATTTATTTGAGATGGAGTTTTGTTCTTGTTACCCAGGCTGGAGTGCAATGACGCATTCTCGGCTCACCACAACCTCCGCCTCCTGGGTTCAAGCGATTCTCCTGCCTCAGCCTCCCGAGTAGCTGGGACTACAGGCGTACGCCACCACGCCCAGCTAATTTTTGTATTTTTAGTAGAGACGGGGTCTCACCATGTTAACCAGATGGTCTCGATTTCTTGACCTCGTGATCCACCCGCCTCAGCCTCCCAAAGTGTTGTATTTATTTTTAAAGTAGAATAGGAACCAAGCTTGAGTAGAGATGAGGTTTCACTGTGGTAGCTAGGCTGGTCTCACTCTCCTGACCTTGTGATCCCCGCCACCTTGGCCTCCCAAAGTGCTGGGATTACAGGCATGAGTGTGCCCAGCCTTGAGTAAGACTTTTAATGATGTTTTTCACTTTTATTGCTGGGTTTTAGTTTTTAAAGTTTCTTCTAAGCACCATGGTTATGTTTTATAGATACTTATGTGGAGGTTTTCAAAATATAGACTTACTTTTTCTTTTTTTCTTTTTTTTTTTTTTTTTTTTTTTTTTGAGACGGAGTTTTGGTCTTGTTACCCAGGCTGGAGTGCAATGGCGCGATCTCGGCTCACCGCAACCTCCGCCTTCTGGGTTCAGGCAATTCTCCTGTCTCAGCCTCCTGAGTAGTTGAGATTACAGGCACGCGCCACCATGCCCAGCTAATTTTTTGTAGTTTTAGTAGAGACGGGGTTTCACCATGTTGACCAGGATGGTCTTGATCTCTTGACCTCGTGATCCACCCGCCTTGGCCTCCCAAAGTGCTGGGATTATAGGCGTGAGCCACCGCGCCCGGCCAGACTTACTTTTTCTTTAAGAAAAAGCGTCTTGCTCTGTCACCCAGACTGGAGTGCAGTGTCATACACACAGCCCACTGCACACTTGACCTCCTGGGTTTAAGCAGTCCTCCTACCTCAGTCTCCCACGTAGCTGGTACTATAACACACACCACCACATCCAGCTAATTTTTTAATTTGTTTTTTGTAGAAATGAGGTCTTGCCATGTTACTCTGGCTGGTCTCGAACTCTTGGGCTGAGGAAATCCTCCTGCCTTGGCCTCCTGAAGTACTGGGATTACAGGTGTGAGCCACTGCACTCAGCCTACCATTATTTTCTAAAAAACAAAAATACAGCCAGGGACCCTGGCTCATGTATGTAATCCCAGCACTTTGGGAGGCGGAGGTGGGAGGATCACTTGAGGTCAAGACTTTGAGACCAGCCTGTCCAACATGGTGAAACCCCATCTCTATTAAAAATATAGAAAAAATTAGCCAAGTATGGTGGCACATGCCTATAATCCCAGCTACTCTGGAGGCTGAGGCAGGAGAATTACTTGAATCCAGGAGGCAGAGGCTGCAGTGAGACGAGGTCATGCCACTGCACCCCAACCTGGGTGACAGAGCAAGACTCCATCTCAAAAAACAAACAAGCAAGCAAAAACCAAAAATACTGTTTCAGATCTTATTTTCAGATGTAAAAGTTATTTAATGTAGACTTTTGAATATTCAGGTAGATTTTACTTTTGCTTCTTTTACTTTTGTTAATTTCTAGGTTTTGTAGAAAATGTCTGTATGATTTCAACTTTTTTTTTTGCTAACTCCTAGTGTGTATCTAGATTTCAACTTTTTAATAGAGACTACATTGTAATAATTGAAACGCTCATCCTGTTTCTCTCTCATACACAACTCATTCAGCACTTAGATTTTCCTCTGTTTCTGCTGCTGGCTTTCCATCCTTGGCCTATATCTAACATTACTTCTGTTTGTAAGCCCTTCATATTCAGATGACTATAACATTTGAATGTGCACATTACTTTTGTCCACCTTACTGAGTTACCAGCTTATCCCATCTTTTTGTGCCAAGAATTTCATAAGAACTTCAATAAGATATAAACATGTTTTCCTGTCTGAAAAATCACTGATACAGCTTTCCTAAAAATACAGAAATCGCCTTGACTATTAGGAAATTGAAAGGAGAAAACTTGAGCCATGGGAGGAAAGAACAAAACCAGTTGAATATTTGTCAAATGAATGAGTAATAGAATAAGTTGAAGGGGAGATAGAGTAGGTAGAACTTCTCAATACCTTTGCTATGGTGTAGTGATAAAGAAAAGTTACCCATAGCTATGTGAAAGAGCAAATGGGTAGTACACTGCATATAAGGGCATAAGCAGTGATGGATGTATAGGAATATACAGCCACCTGTTCCATGCATGTATTTAGCTGGGCTACCCTGGACGAATAAAGAGAATATTTAATCATTTTTATAAGGCATGAGAGACAAGAGGTAGAGAGAGAAATTTAGGACAAGTATATAACTATGGGAATTAAATGAGTAAAACCTATTATATGCTTAGCATTTATTACTTAATGTAAAGTAGGGATTGTTTCTGTCCTTGAGGAGGTTTATAGGTAAGAATAAGCAGTATAACAAATGGAGAAGTTAATATATAATTTTTAAATTGAGAGGTATTATAAAGGTAAGAAATAGAGAATAGCAACATGGATTTTTAGGGACTATCAATAGGGTCAACCTTAAAGGAAATGACCTTTAATCTAAGACCTCAGGATGAAAAGGAGCCAGCCATGCAAAAAGCCCAATCAGGAGATCTGTGGGAGATAGTACAGACTGTGAAGAGTCCTAAGAGATGGAAGTAAGTTAAGACATGTGAGATCTGCAAGGAGGCCTCTCCAGGTAGCAGAAAAGGGACGCTGCTTTGAGATCATATGACATAGATAAGCAGAAGCCTTCTTTTTTTTTTTTTTTGAGACGGAGTTTCGCTCTTGTTACCCAGGCTGGAGTGCAATGGCGCGATCTCAGCTCACTGCAACCTCCGCCTCCTGGGTTCAGGCAATTCTCCTGCCTCAGCCTCCTTAGTAGCTGGGATTACAGGCACACGCCACCATGCCCAGCTAATTTTTTGTATTTTTTTAGTAGAGACGGGGTTTCACCATGTTGACCAGGATGGTCTCGATCTCTTGACCTCGTGATCCACCCGCCTCGGCCTCCCAAAGTGCTGGGATTACAGGCTTGAGCCACCGCGCCCAGCAGCAGAAGCCTTCTTAATCACAGTGAACTTGACTGGATTCTAAGAATGAAGAAAGATGAAAAAAATATTGAGTATAGATTCTCAGCCTCTCATCAGAATGATCGTGTAGAGAATATTGAATATCCTTCCAGGACTGCAGAGTCTGATCCAGGTGGTTTGAGTGTTGTCTAAGCCTCAGCGTTAGTAACAAGCTACATGGTGATTTTGGTCCACGCTGCCATATGAGAACCAATGACTTAAAATGTTTACTTAATCACCAATCTTGCTATTTTGTATGAACTCTCATTTTTCCTGATGTTCTCTTTTGCTTTTTTTGTTTTCAGATTGTATGCCAATATTTTAGAGTTTGGTTGAGGATTACCTAAGTTGTGTTTCATTTCTACATTAGAAATGTTGCTTCTTTTAGTAAAAGAAAACAGCATGTGTTTGCTTTCTTGTCTTATTTTAGATTTGCAGACCAAGTATGAGGCCAAGAAGTTGTCTTTAGAAAATGACATTTATGAAATAAATTTATCCCAGTGGAAGATAATGGAAAGAATTAAAAACCATGGCCTTAAGGGTCTCATTTTAAAAAATGATTGGGAATCCAAAGAAAAAATTGAAAGGCAAGAGAGACCTCTAGAAAGATACTTCAGTAATGTGAAAATGCCATCTGAAAAAGTATCCTGTTACCAAAAACGCACGTCTGCTACTCCACATCAGAGACTTCATTTTGTCGATAAACCCTATGAATGTAAGGAATGTGGGAAGGCGTTCAGAGTGCGCCAACAGCTTACTTTTCATCACAGAATTCATACTGGTGAAAAACCCTATGAATGTAAGGAATGTGGGATGGCCTTCAGACAGACTGCACACCTTACTCGACATAAGAGACTTCATTCTGGTGAAAAACTCTACCAATGTAAGGAATGTGAGGAAGCTTTCATATGTGGTGCCGATCTTAGAGTACATCAGAAAATGCATATTGGTGAGAAACCCTATGAATGTAAAGAATGTGGGAAGGCTTTTAGGGTACGAGGACAACTTACTCTGCATCAGAGGATTCATACTGGTGAGAAACCCTATGTCTGTACAGAGTGTGGGAAGGCCTTTAGACAGTATGCACACCTGACTCGGCATCAGAAGCTTAATAGTGCTGACAGGTTCTATGAATGCAAAGAATGTGGGAAAGCCTTTTTGTGTGGCTCTGGTCTTAGAGTACATCACAAACTTCATACTGGTGAGAAACCCTATGAATGTAAGGAATGCGGGAAGGCCTTTAGAGTGCGACAACAACTAACACTCCATCAGAGAATTCATACTGGGGAGAAACCCTATGAATGTAAGGAATGTGGAAAGACCTTTAGTCGTGGTTATCATCTTATTCTCCATCACAGAATTCATACTGGTGAAAAACCTTATGAATGTAAGGAATGCTGGAAGGCCTTTAGTCGTTACTCACAACTTATTTCACATCAGAGTATTCATATTGGTGTTAAGCCCTATGACTGTAAGGAATGCGGGAAGGCCTTTAGACTACTTTCACAACTCACACAGCACCAGAGTATTCATATTGGTGAGAAACCCTATAAATGTAAGGAATGTGGGAAGGCCTTTAGATTGCGCCAAAAGCTTACTCTACATCAGAGCATTCATACTGGCGAAAAACCCTTTGAGTGTAAGGAATGTAGGAAGGCCTTTAGACTTAATTCATCCCTTATTCAGCATCTGAGAATTCATTCTGGTGAGAAACCCTATGAATGTAAGGAATGTAAGAAGGCCTTTAGGCAACATTCACACCTTACCCATCATCTGAAAATTCATAATGTAAAAATATAAGAAAGTCTTTTCAACTTCTGTGTTACGGAACATTCTATGAATGTAGTAATTAATCTCTTTTGCTCCCTACATGCAACTGATTTGGCATAAGAGGTTTTATACCATTAGAAGAGTATGATAATGTAATGTATTCCATCATCACTCAAACCTGAAACTTCAGCACATTTGTTCTAAAAAGTAATCCTGTTATAAGAAATGTGAGAAAGACACCGTCATCTCTATCCCATCACTTTGTGTCGTCCTGGACAAGATGCTTAACTGCTCTGTGCTATAATTTTTTTAATTTATGAAATGGTCATATAAGAGTGCAGCAATTTGATACTCTTCTGATCAAGAGGTGAATTTATATCCCCTCTGTTGTATATAGGCAGACTGTGACTGCTTTGCCCGATAGAATATGGTAGATGTAGTGCTGTGCTGGTTTCTTGACTCAGACTTTACTAATAGAGTTACTTCATCTCATGAAATGAGAGAACTGTCATGTCCCAAAGTCTGGCCACCTTCCTGAAGAGACCACATGGAGAAGCCCTGACACTACGTAGTGAGGGAGAGGCATCCTGCTGAACCCTGTTTTCTTGACATCCACCAAGACACCAGAGATTGGAGTAAAATTTTGGATCCACCAGACCAGCTACCAGCTAAATGCCACTGAGTGACTTGGTGACCTCAACTGATGCCATGTAGAATGGAAGAACTGACTGTCCAGCTGAGCCCCTGCCCAAATTTCTGACCCACAGAAACATGAGATATGATAAAATGGTTTTTGTTTTAAGCCACTAAACTTTCTTTTATCATACTTAATACTTCTTTTTGGATAATTCATACTAAAGGCTTTGGGCATAATGAATTTAGAAATGCCTTCCACCAACATTTACTTCTCATTGAACTTGAGATATCTTATTCTTGTTAAAATATTGAAAGTAAGAAATTCCTTTTCAATTTGTTCATTAAAAAACAGATATCCTAGAACAGGTGAGGCAGCCTATGCCTGTAAATCCAGCATGTTGGGAGGCCAAGTAAGGAGGATTGCTTGAGGTCAGAAGTTCGAGACCAGCCTGGACAACATCATGAGACCCTCTACCAAGAAAGTTTAAAAATTACCTGGGCTTGGTGGTGCATGCCTGTAGTCCTAGCTACTCAGGAGGCTGAGGTGGGAGGATCACTTGAACCCAAGAGTTGAGGCTGCAGTGAGCTATGATTGCACCACTGCACTCCAGCTTGACTGACAGATCAAGACCCTGTCTCAAAAAAAAGAAAATCTACAGTCAGCATTCTCTGGCCCCAGTCAATATCAAAAATTGACAAAGGATAACATGAAACTATTTGGAAATTAAAAATCACTTGTATTATAAAACTGTATTAATTTTTTTTTAATTGTAGCTTTTTAAAAATGCTAAATTGTCCTGTATTTGGCCAGTGGCAATCCCCTCACATTGGTTCCTCTGTCCTTTTGTCATGACCGCTCCAACCTTTGAGCTTCTTTTTTTTTTTTTTCTGAACCAAATGCATTAATTAGTTATGCAGCATACAAGAGCATTATTAACAAATAAAGGAAAAGAATGGAACATTTAACTTGCCTATACTTTAGGAACTATATTTCAAGACAACCAAAAGTTGGTGAAGGAAAGTTGTTTATTATTAGAGAATTCCAACTGGTTAAAAGGTCAAAGGAATGATTGAATTAGAAAATTACACTTTTTAATTTTACAAAATAATGTATTTTGGTGGTGATAGTAGTGGATGCCAAGACCATTAGGTGAAAAATGGATAGGAAGCTTATACTGCATGAAGCAGAATGCCAGGACACTAATCCATATTAACAATCTCTAAATAAGAACAGCCAGATGCACCTGATGTGATGTAATGGATGCACACAGTGGATACCTGTGAAGTTTTCTTGGTCCCCTAAATTCATTGAGAAGTACAAGTTAGTCTATAAACCTAATTACCAGTTTACAAGAAACATGGGGAATAAAAGAACAAATTAATGACACAAACAAACAAATGCACAATTCGGGAAATTCTGCAGAAGTGATGGCCTAGTTTTTTTAACCAATACATTTCAAAAAAAAAAAAAAAAGATAAAAGTGGAATCCTACATATTAAAGGAGACGTAAGAGACTTATCCATCAAATACAGTGTATGGAACATTTTAGGATCTTTGTGTTAAAATGTGCTTGGGATTTGTTTTAATCAATCATGGTGAGACAGGCAGACATGGAAATGATTGTCATGAAGGAAGAAGTTTATACTCAGATCCTAGAAACAGGAGGTGTCGCATGCCATGCAGAGTCACATAAAGAAGCGCCCAGGTGTTGTATCAGGATGCAGAAGGGGTGAGGGCAGAGCATTGGGGGTTTTCCTGGGAAGGAATGGATAAGGCAGGGTTAGGCATGCGGGTAAGCTTAGGATTGGATTGTTTGAGTAATTTTGTTGGGCTGTGGACTCTAGGGGTGATTCCTAGTTGTCCCATTAGGGTAGGGGGAATATTGACTTGGCGAATGAGAGTTTGATAAAGGAGATAGTTGGGAATATTTGTCTTGTTCACCACTCTATTCACATACATACAATAACTATCACATAACAGGTGTGATGGGGAAAAATAAGAATTAACTTAAGCCAGAAATTTTTTAAAGGTAAGGTGAATAACAGGAAGTAGTTTTATGATAAATTAATGGAATAGTTAATAGACTAAAGATATTCCCTTTTAAAAGAACATTAATATGGATTGGCAGTTATTGAGGGAAAAACATGACTCATAGCTTTATGTATGGAAAAGGTGAAATAGCTACATAATAAGGAGGTTTTTAAAAAATATTTGTTACATATTACTATATACATATATTTACTGTATACATATATTTCAATATGTTTCAGTATTACTATATGCATATATTTCAATATGTTTCAATCTAGAGAAACCTAAATGATAAAAATTGACTCCAGATACAAAAAAACCCTGAACTAATCCATATATAAAGGGGGAAAAGTACAGTTATGATGTTTTTTAAAATCTACAATCCATAGTTTTACAGGCAGTAAAAAGCATTAAAGCTTTAGAATATAGAACTTGGCTGGGCACGGTGGCTCACGCCCATAATCCCAGCACTTTGGGAGGCAGAGGTGGGTGGATCACGAGGTTAGGAGTTCAAGACCAGCCTGGACAACATGGTGAAACCCCATCTTTGTTAAAAATACAAAAACTAGCTGGGCGTGGTGGCGTGTGCCTGTAATCCCAGCTACTCAGGAAGCTGAGGCAGGAGAATTATTTGAACCAGGACCAGGGAGGCAGAGGTTGCAGTGAGCCATGGTCATGCCACTACACTCCAGCCTGGGCTACAGAGCAAGACTCTGTCTAAAAACAAAAACAGATATGTAACCTGTAACAAAATTTTACTAGATCATTTTATAAGGCAAATATCCCAACATAAAATTAGAGGAGGATAAATACCCCCTAAAAAGCAAAATGTGGGTCAATTTTACTTAAGATACATGTAAACATTCACAAAAAAGTATCAGTAAATTGGACTCAATAGTCTTAAAACAATTTTAAAACATAAAATGATTTACTAGGAATACCCTGGGGCCTGGCCTGTTTTCATTTAAATATGTATCCAGATTTTAGGTTTTCTGACTTGAGCAATGCAACAATGTTATAAAAAATGACATGATTCCGTCACAGTATCTTTTTTCTTTTTCAGATGGTAACCACACTGGAGTGCAGAGGCGCTATCTCGGCTCACTGTAACCTCCAACTCCTGGGTTCAAGCGATTCTCCTGCCTCAACCTCCCAAGTAATTGGGATTACAGGTGCATGCCACAATGCCCAGGTAATTTTTTACATTTTTAGTAGAGACAGAGTTTCACCATGTTGGCCAGGATGGTCTCTATCTCCTGACCTCGTGATCTGGCCACCTCAGCCTCCCAAAGAGCTGGGATTACAGGCATGAGCCACTGTGCCTGGCCTCAAAGTATCTTTTAGATGGTTTCTATTATTGTCATTTATCTTAGCTTCACTGGCTTTACAAAAAGAATTAAGAATACATATAAGGCCGGGCGCGGTGGCTCAAGCCTGTAATCCCAGCACTTTGGGAGGCCGAGGCGGGTGGATCACGAGGTCAAGAGATCGAGACCATCCTGGTCAACATGGTGAAACCCCGTCTCTACTAAAAATACAAAAACATTAGCTGGGCATGGTGGCACGTGCCTGTAATCCCAGCTACTCAGGAGGCTGAGGCAGGAGAATTGCCTGAACCCAGGAGGCGGAGGTTGCGGTGAGCCGAGATCGCGCCATTGCACTCCAGCCTGGGTAACAAGAGCGAAACTCCGTCTCAAAAAAAAAAAAAAAAAAGAATACATATAAAAATAGGAATTCAACACAAAAATTATTACCTTTTGCTTAGTCTATTTTGTGAAGATACTCGCTTGGCTTGATGGATCATGCCTGTAATTCCAGCACTTTGGGAGGCTGAGGTGGGTGGGTTGCTTGAGGTTAGGAGTTTGAGACTAACCTGGCCAAGATGGTGAAACTCTTTCTCTACTAAAAATACTAAATTAGCCAGACGTGGTGGTACATGCCTGTAATCCCAGCTACTTGGGAGGCTGAGGCAGGAGAATCGCTTGAACCTGGGAGGTAGAGGTTGCAGTCAGCTGAGATTGCACCATTGCACTTCAGCCTGGACAACAGGAGCAAACCTCAATCTCAAACAAACAAACAAAAAAACACCACAGACTGGGTAATTTACAATGAACAGCAGAAAATGGCTCACAGTTCTGTAGGAGAGGAATTGCAAGACTAGGAGGCTGGCATCTCATAAGGACCTTCCTGCTACATCATCTTATGGCACAAAGGCAGAGAGGGCAAGAGGAAGCCCAACTCATCTTTTGATAAGGAACCCACTCCTGTGATAATGGCATTAATCCATTCATGAAAGCAGATCCCTCATAGCCCAATCACTTCTTAAAGTTTCCACCTCTTAATACTATTGAATTGGGTATCAAGTTTCTCCCTAAAACTTGGGGACAAATTCAAACTATAGCATGTCTTCTCTGGCCTCCCAAATTGATGTTCTTCTCACATGTAAAATACATTCACTCCCCTCTGACTGCCCCACAGTCTTAGCTCTTTCCAGCACAAACTCAAAAGTTCGTTCTCATCTAGATCAGGTATGGTGAAACAAGGCATGATTTATCCTGAGGCAAATTTTCCTCCAGCTGTTAGTCTATGAAATCAAGCAAGAATTTTACTCCCAAAACACAATGGTGGGACAGGCATAGCCTACACATTCGTATTCTGAAAGAAATTGGGAAGAAAAAAAACTGGTGCCACGTAAGTCCAAAACCCAACAGTGCAAACAACATGAACTCTTTTTTTTTTTTCAAAGAGTCTCGCTCTGTCACCTAGGCTGGAGTGCAATGGCGTGATCTTGGCCCACTGCAACCCCTGCCTCCCCAGTTTAAGCAATTCTCCTGCCTCAGGTTCCCGAGTAGCTGGGATTACAGTCATCCACCATCATGCCTGGCTAATTTTTGTATTTTTAGTAGAGAGGGGGTTTCACCATGTTGGTCAGGGTGGTCTTGAGCTCCTGACCTCACGTGATCCGCCTGCCTCAGCCTCCCAAAGTACTGGGATTACAGACGTGAGCCACCACACCTGGCCAAACGACATTAACTCTTAAGGTTCCAGAAGACTCCTCCTTAACTCTGTGACCTACTTGGACACACTGGGATGTTGGCTGGTTCTCAGACAGCCTTTCCCCCATGGGTTTGCTGGGCTCACTCCACACATCTGTTACAGGTTGGAGGTTCACACTGGTAGCTCTTCAGTTCTGGGGTTTTGAGGATGGCCTGACTTTATTAGGCATTGACGTAGTGGGGACTCTCTGCAGTGGTTCTGCTCATGGACAAGTCTAACTGGGCCCCCGGGCTACCCAAAAATAGATTTTATTGTGGTTCAGTTGTCTCTTTCAGTTCCTGTTTAATTTTTCTTTTTTTTTCTTTTAATAGAAATGCCTGCTAAATATTGTAAGATGTCTTTTTGGCTCATTGATACAATGTTTTCCTCCTTCAGTTTGTTAATGTGACAAGTTGTACTGTAGTCATTATTGCAGGTATGTTATTGGTGCAAGAATGAACAAATAGGCCAATGGAACAAAATAAAAAGCCCTGAAAAGATGTCTCTCTCTTTACACACACACACAAAAACACACACACATATATGTGGTTGTCTAATT